AAGATGCCCGTTACATCACAACATTGGTTGGGGGCTGTTTTGCATGTTCGCCCCCGAACGCCTTTTTTCGACTAAGTTTAAGGCGTTTTTTACTCTAACTCCCAACTTACGTGTCCTATTTACCTACCGTCTGTCCCTACAGGTCATATTTGGCACGGGAAAGCTACCCGTTACATCACAACAGTGGTTGGGGGCTATTTTGAATTTTTACCCCCCGAACGCCTTTTTTCGACTAAGTTTAAGGCATTATCGATTCTAACTCCCAACTAATGTGTCCTATTTACATACCAAGTGTCCGTACAGGCCACATTTGGAATTGGAAAGCTGCCCATTATATCACAGCATTGGTTGGGGGGCTGTTTTGCATTTTCGCCGCTGAAACGCCCTTTTTCGATTAAGTTTAAGACGTTTTCAACTCTAACTCCCAACCTACCCGTAATAATTACAATCCGTCTATTGTCACAAGTCCTATTTGTCATGGGGACGCTAATCGTGACATTCATAATGTCGTTCGGGGGCTATTTTGCATTTTCTCCCCTGAAACGCCCTTTTTTAACTAAGTTTAAGGCGTTGCTAGAAAATGGTTGCTAGAAAATGCTAATACATGGGACAAGCATCTAGTGCCTTTGGCTCCAAAACACTAAAATAGCAACCCAAGACTCAGATAAAACACTAATTTAAATGCACAATAATAACAAAGGGTCATGAGTCTAATAGATAAAAACTCATCATAAATTGGTTACTTTTAGTTCAATGCTTTAATATATTTCATCCATATATCTTAATTTCTTAACTATATGAATAACTATTCCACATTCATATTACTAGGATTCTCAAATTATTCATTTCTGGGTAAAAGCTACACTCAATTGATTAGAACTAACTCATCCTATGTTATATGGATTCGGGTGTCGGGTGTCGGGTTCGAGTATGTGTCTAAGTCTCCAAATTCATCTAATCCCAAGTTCAATACATGGATGGAAAAATATTCATATTTCTTAATATAAATATGTGGCATACAACATTTAGAATATGTCATACTGCACAAAGATATTGACAGTAGCAAGCATCATATGCACCAATTGCGAGCACTCAACAATATCTAAACAATATGAGGAGTTCACTTAATGATTACCAGGCTTGTCCACAAATTGTGTTACTCATCTTGAAGTCACAACTGCCATAACAAGAGATTCCATAGCTATATATATATACATATATCAATGAAAATATTGAACTGCCTTGTATGATTCCATAGCCAATCCATTATGTTGACATTGTAAGTGATTTTTGTGATTAGATGCTCTCCCCACTTCTTTGTTAAATAAGCATATTGTTTGATGTAGTTTAGCAAATTTATGCTTTAAATTGTAGATTTAGAGTAGCAGTGATTGCTTTCTCTAGGATTTTGCTTGGCGCTTATAGGTATCATATCAATTTTCTCCAATCCAGTTTGGTAAGAACCTATCTTATGGTGAAAAGGGAAAAAAAAATAAAGCAAAAGAATCTAAATATTTTTCTATTATTCAAATAGAATTTTAGGGAAAATGAGAAGAATATTTTAAAATATAGTAGATAAAAATAAAATAAAAATACATTAACAAAAGGTTGTAGCATTTTTTTTCAATAAAAATAACCTTTAATCTACAAATAAAACTTTATTAATCTACAAATACAAAGCACACAGTCACTTCATTGCAAAATGGTTTTAAAAAAAATCATTACCAAAAAGCTCCACAATCAAGCAATCTAATCAGAGATTCATACACTAAGTTATGCACAAAGTAGAACATGTCCAGGAGTGAGCCTTCATCCATATTGTTACCTCTATCTTCATCCAAATTGATCCAAAGAACAGCACAAGGCAGAGCTTTCCATATCTAGCAACTAGCATCAACTAGCAGCAGCAACAGTAGCAGCACTCCATTTCTGCAGCAGTAACTAGCCATTCCTGCAGCAACAACTAGCAACTAATAGCAGCAGCAACACTCCTTTTCTACAGTAGCAGCTGTGACGACCTTGACCTCCGAACTAGTATATTATGTTATTTTAATGAGCCTAATTGCATGATTGTGTGTTTACTTATGTGATTACATGCTTAATTTGTGATTATCTGTCATTACATGGAATATCTGTTCAAATTGACAACTTAGAGACAGAAATTGAGAGCCTAAACAGCTTCAGAAATTGAAATTGATTAGCGTAATAGACTAATTAGAATATTTAAAATTTTATAGCAACTTTAATTGAAAATTGATTTGGATCAAAATAATTAGATTAAACTGATTGAATTAATTAGGATTGAGCCTAATTACTTAACCTTAATCATACTTGATTAGGCTAAGCTAATCACACTATATAAATAGCTCTAAATAAGCTTATGAGCTCATATACACACACACTTGGCTGAGATTTTGTAAGAGGAGGGAATTAACTCAACACTTGGAGAGAGAGAAGAAGAATTGTGAAGGAAATTGCGGAGAATTAGAGAATTAAGCTATACAACACTTGAATTCAAGTCTTAAGTATGATCTTCAACCCTAATCTTTGTAAATAAAACATGTAGAAGTTGAATTCATCTAAGTTTTGAGTTCATTTGCACGAAATTGTTAAATAAAAGCTTCAACCATCTTGAATTTGGAAGTTAAGAGTTAAACATGTACATGCATGCATTATTTAAGTTAGAATTCATGAAATTCCTACATGCATGGCACAATTACACCTCAATTTGGAGAATCCTTCATGTTTTCATGCTTCTCGTGTCACTTGATTATGTTTTGAATATGTTTTGATGAAATATACACTCAATTTGAATTAAACGTGTTTTATAACTTGAAATTGAAGTTCTTGGTTAAGAATTTGCCATGGTTTTGAGCAATTGGTTCCAAATTAACTATGTTTCCATGTTTTATAAAGTTTTTCCATGTTTTTTAACCTAAAACACGAGTTTGGGACCTTTGAATATCATGTTTGAACTTCAAACACAGTTCTGGAAATTCCAGAATTTGGCTTGTCCGCTCGAGCATGAAAATCAGGCTCCTAGAAGTTTTGCAAAATTGTACAAGCCGCTCGGGCGACCAAAGTGGCACTCGAGTAAGGATCCTTTTTACTCAGTCTTCCGCTCGAGCAACTGTCGAGCAAAAATTTCATGCAACCAGTACTTTTGCCAAGTTTGCAGACCGCTCGAGCGTCAAAAGTTGCGCTCGAGCGACCACCTTTGTTTTTGAACCCTCGCTCGTGCAAATGAAGTTATGCTCGAGTAGAGACCCTATTTTCAGCAAAATTTTACCAACTCTTTTAAGTGCATATTTGTATCCTCATGCCACTCCAAGTATTATTAGGCACCATTTGGACTCATATAATCATAGAATGCGTTAGAAACACGTGAGTAGAATTGAATTAAAATGAATTGGTGCTTCAACTATGCTTCTGTTATGTGTTTTGTTTAGGTGGACGTCCGAGGCTTAGTGACAACTCAAACCACTGTGAGTAGCAACTTTATAAAGATATGTTTGAGTATATTATTTTCGAAATTGTTACTGCTTTAGAATCAATATGTAACTGATTGAATGGTTTATCGAAAAGTTAATTTGTAATGATGAATGAAGTTCATTTTCGAAATATATTTGTGGCATCCATTGAACATAAGCCTATGCCTGGGGGTAACAATATCACGGCTATTGGTTGTAGGCCCTTGCCTGGGGGTAACAATACCACGGCCATTGGATGTAGGCCCTTGCCTGGAGGTAACAATATCATGGCTATTGGATTACACAAAGATCTCTAGTGTTGGCCCTTCATGGTCCATTGGTTTGACCCTTCGTGGTCCATTGGTTTGACCCTCTGTGGTCCATTGGCTTAACCCTTCGTGGTCCATTGGTTTTTGCTCCACTATGATTAGAATGTTATTGTTCATGGGTGTGCCACATATTTTGATATTGAATGACGTCAATTATGAAATTTATTGGATATAAAGATTTGAAACGAGAATTTTGATGAGCATGTTATCGAACTTCATTCACATAATCTCTTTATTCTATTATTACTCACTGGGCTCTAGCTAACTATTTATTTATATATATATATATAGGTGGGCAAGCTGAACATCAAAGTTAGAAAGCCTCGAGTCTACCCAGGTCAGCCATTTTGAGGAGCTTCTAAGTGAAGTGATCAGGCTTAGGAGGAGCCATGCTAGTTGAACCCCCTTTTGTGTATTTTAATGGTTTTGTATTTGTTTATAGTTGGGGTTGTATATTTGCAAGACATGAATTTTGTACAATTGTGATAAATGTACTTTTAAATCAAAACTTTGCTTATTATATTAGTTCTCCTCATATATGCACAGCTCAATGGATAATTTTTATGTTGTTTTAAACTTCCGCTAAGCCCCGTACTTTATATTAAGAGGTTCATTTGTACAGAGGCCGTAGGTAATCTATGATTACTGGCCGGTCATGACGCTAAACCTATAGGGACGGGTTTGGGTCTTGACATAGTGGTATCAGAGCACGAGTTATATCTCACTCACTTGTCGATTGAGCTATAGAGAATCTAGAGAGACTTCAGGATTGCATTCATGTGTAATTAAATATTAGAGTGAGATAAATTGTATGATTACATGTTTTGAATTTGTACATATGGACATATTTTATTTGTTGTGTTTATCATAATACAAGTTTTATATAGAAAATGATAAGGACAAGGGGTGATGAGCTAGAAGAGGCAACCTCCTCAAGATTGGATAGAATGGAACAAATGATGCAAGATATGGCTGAAGCCATAAGGCAACAATAGCAGTGGCAACAACAACAACAATAATCACCACCCCCACCTCCAATGCCTATGCCACCCCCAGCTCTAGGATGCCAGCCAGAGAGTTGTATTATTGCTTTGACCAGAGAATTTAAAAAGATGAAGCCACCACTGTTTCATGGCAGAATTGAACCATTGAAGGCTGAAGCTTGGGTCTTAGGAATTAAAAAATTGTTTGAAGTGTTTCCATGTACCGAGCTCAGAAGGTACAACTAGTTGCATTCACATTAGAAGATGATGCAAGACGTTGGTGGATGTTGGTTCGAGATGAGAACCGAGATGTTACTTGGGCCCGTTTCCTAGAAATCTTTTACGAGAAATACTTTCCACAATGTATGCGGGAAAGAAAGGCAGCTGAATTCATGGAACTCAAGCAAGGAAATAAATCAATTGCTGAATATGAGGCTCAATTTACAAAATTAGCTTGCTTTGCACCCCACATGGTAGATACAGATTATAAAAAGGCCAGACAGTTTGAGGGAGGTTTGCGTGACCCAATTTTAGATAAAATCAATGTTCTCAAATTGCCGACATATGTGGATGTACTTGATAGGGCACTAATAGCAGAGAGATATGTGGCCAACCGTAAATAGAACTTCGAATGGAAAGGCAGAAAACAGAATTTTAGTAAGGGAGCAACATCAATAAATAAGAAGTTAAAATCTGGGAGTTTCAGTAATAATGGTTTAAGCCATGGTGGCAATTCAACACCAACTTGTGCTGCTTGTGGAAAGAAACATTGGGGTGTTTGCCATCACGCATCAGGGGCTTGTTATTACTATAGAAAGACCAGACATATTGCAAAGGATTATACGCAACCACGTCGAAGTGGGAATCATGGTACTACAAGTTCAACTAGATCTACTCCGACAATGGGAACAAATGCGGGAACAAACACAACACCCATTACAACAAGAAATGAACAAAGGCAAGGAAGGGTTTTTGCACTAATTCCGGGGGATACTCAAAATGTTGAGGCACTAGTGTCAGGTACAATCTCCATTTGTGCTAAACCTGCTTATGCTTTAATTGATTCCGGGTCGACACATTCGTTTATTTCTATGGTTTTTGCTGAAACTTTGAATTGACCTATGGAAACATTGAACTATATACTATGTGTTGCATCACCTATAAGGGGATTTATACTATGTTCAACTGTATTTGTTGCATGTGAATTATTTCTCTGAAATACTGTTTTGTATGCCGACTTAATACCTTTAGACATGAGATATTTTGATGTGGTGCTGGGTATGGATTGGCTAGCTAAATACTATGCAACTATTGATTGTGCTTTAAAACAAGTAATATTCCGACCTCCGGGACAAGATGAATTTTGTTTTGAGGGAAAAGGGGTAGGCCCTCCACCATACCTCATATCTGCCATGAAAGCTCGAAAATTAATAAATAAGGGTTGTCAAGGGTATTTGTGTAGTGTGGTAACTGAACCAACTATAGACATTTCTCTAGATAATATACCAGTGGTGAGAGACCTTCCTGATGTGTTTCCGGATGAATTACCCGCCAACTTGTTGATAGAGAGATTAAATTTACAATTGATGTAATACCAGGAACTCAACCAATTTCTAAAACTCCCTGCCGTATGTCTACCACTGAAATGAAAGGATTGAAAACTCAGTTGCAAGAATTGCTTGATAAAGGGTTTATCAGACCGAATACATCACCATGAGGCGCATCGATACTTTTTGTGAAAAAGAAATATGGCACTCTTCGATTATGCATTGATTACCGAGAGCTCAACAAGGTAATGGTGAAAAATAAATATCCTTTGCCGCGTATTGATGATCTGTTTGATTAGTTGCAGGGGGCACAGATATTTACGAAAATTGACTTGAGATCGGGATATTATCAACTGAAGGTTAAGGCTGAGGACATTGAAAAGACCGCCTTCCGGACCAGGTATGGGCATTATGAGTTTTTAGCCATGTCTTTTGGAGTTACAAATGCACCCGCAGTATTTATGGATTTAATTAACAGAATTTTCAAACCTTTCCTAAACGACTTTGTTGTTGTATTCATTGATGACATCTTGATTTATTCGAAAACTAAAGATGAGCATGAACGACATTTGAAACTAACTCTTCAAACACTTAGAGAAAAACAGTTGTATGGGAAATTCAAAAAGTGTGAATTTTGGCTTGATGAAATTGCATTTTTGAGGCACATCATTAATAAGGATGGTATATCTGTGGATCCTCATAAAATTGAAGCAATTATTAATTGGCCTACCCCGACTAATGTATTAGAAGTTTGTGGTTTTATGGGATTGGCAGGGTATTATCGAAGATTTGTTAAAGACTTTTCAAAAATTGTTGTGCCATTAACTCAGTTGACTCGAAAAGGGGAGCCATTTGAGTGGACGGATTAGAGAGAAACAACCTTTCAAGAGTTTAAGACAAGACTGACTATAGCTCCAATTCTTACTATTCCCTTAGGTACTGAAGGTTTTGTGATCTTTAGTGATGCATCTTATAAGGGTCTAGGTTGTGTGTTAATGCAGAATGGCAAGGTGATTGCATATGCCTCTCAACAGTTAAAGCCACATGAGAAGAACTACCCTACACATGACCTACAACTTGCTGCAATTGTGTTTGCATTAAAGATATGGCATCACTATCTGTATAGGACCAAATTTGAAGTGCACACAGATCATAAGAGCTTGAAATACTTCTTCACACAGAAAGAGTTGAACATGCGTCAAAGGCGATGGCTTGAACTAATCAAAGACTATGACTTGCAAATTCAATATCATCTGGGTAAAGCCAATACTGTAGCAAATGCACTTAGTAGAAAGAATGTGGGGAATCTTGCCTGTTTACTCACAGATCAGAGAAAACTACTACTAGAGTTTGAAAAACTTGAAATTGAAGTGGTTCCTTATGAACAAGATAGCTTGATAGCCGCGATGTCTGCCTTACCTGCCATTATCGAGGAAATTAAACGAAAGCAAATGAATGATGAGTTTTTAAGAAGATTTGTGATGAACTTGACACCAAGCCTAAATAGGGGTTCATAATTGAAGATTCTGTGTTGAAATATCAAGGGAGATTGTGTGTTCCGAATGATACGGATTTGAAAAGGAAAATTTTGGAGGAAGCTCACAAGTCAATGTTTGCTATACATCCAGGAAACACCAAAATGTACCAAGACTTGAAGTTAGTTTATTGGTGGCCCAATATGAAAAGGGAGATTGCCGACTTCAACTCTAAATGCTTACAATGCCAATAGGTAAAAGCAGAACATCAGAAGCCAGTAGGTCTGCTTCAGTCTCTTCCTATTTCGGAATGGAAATGAGAGCATATCACTATGGACTTTATTGTTAGCCTACCTCGGACACCTAGAGGTATGGATTCCATTTGGGTTGTAATTGATAGACTGACTAAATTTGCTCATTTTCTTGCGGTAAATACTTCTTTTACTGTATATAAACTTGCTACTATTTACATTGATGAAATTATTCGACTGCATAAGGTTCCAGTGTCTATTGTATCAAATAGGGATCCTAAATTTGTTTTTAGATTTTGGCATAGTCTACAGGATACAATGGGAGCAGAATTGAGGTTTAGTACAGTATTTCATCCACAGACCGATGGGCAAACCGAAAGAACTATTCAAACTTTAGAAGACATGCTTCGTATATGTGTTTTGGATTTTCAAGGAAATTGGGAAACTTATTTGCCATTGGCTGAGTTTGCTTATAATAATAGTTTCCATACTAGCATTGGTATGGCGCCATATGAGGCACTATATGGAAGGAAATGTAGATCACCAGTTTGTTGGACAGAGGTTAGTGATAGGGCTATTTATGGGACTGAACTTGTTCAAGAGACGACCGAAAAGATTAAAATCATTCAGCAAAGACTCAAAATTACACAGAGCCGACAGAAAAGTTATTTGGATCAGTGAAGAAGGGTCTTAGAATACGAAGCAGGACATCATGTATTCATTAAGGTGACACCAATGAAGGGGCAGATGAGATTTGGCAAAAAGGAAAAACTGACTTCTCGCTATATTGGACCATTTCATATACTTGAAAGGCTAGGTCCTATTACTTACCATATTGCTTTGCCCCCAGGAATGGAACAAGTGCATAACATCTTCCATGTATCCATGCTTCATGGGTATCTTAGAGACCCGTTCCATGTGATTGATCACCACCGGATTGCTCTAGACGAGAATATGATGTATGAAGAATGGCCCGTGCAAATCATCGATCGCCAAGTGAAGCAATTGAGAAACAAAACTATCCCTACGGTGAAAGTCGAGTGGAAAGAGCATTATGGAAAGGAGGCCACTTTGGAGAAAGAGGAAGAGATGCGGCAACGATATCCGCATTTATTTTCATTTGAAGGTAACTTAAGTTTAGAGGACCAAACATTCTAAGGGGGAGAGACTGTGACGACCCTGACCTCCGAACTAGTATATTATGTTATTTTAATTAGCCTAATTGCATGATTGTGTGTTTACTTATGTGATTACATGCTTAATTTGTGATTATCTATCATTACATCGAATATCTGTTCGAATTGACAACTTACATACAGAAATTGAGAGCCTAAACGATTTCAGAAACTGAAATTGATTAGTGTAATAGACTAATTAGAATATTTAAAATTTTATGGCAACTTTAATTGAAAATTGATTTGGATCAAAATAATTAGATAAAATGATTGAATTAATTAGGATTGAGCCTAATTACTTAACCTTAATCATACTTGATTAGGCTAAGCTAATCACAGCATATAAATAGCTCTAAATAAGCTTATGAGCTCATATACACACACACTTGGCTGAGATTTTGTGAGAGGAGGGAATTAACTCAACACTTGGAGAGAGAGAGAGAGAGAGAAAGAGAGAGAGAGAGAGGGAGAGAGAGAGAGAGAAAGAAGAAGAAGAAGAATTGTGAAGGTAATCGTGGAGAATTGGAGAATTAAGCTATACAACATTTGAATTCCAGTCTTAGGTATGTTCTTCAACCCTAATCTTTGTAAATAAAACATGTAGAAGTTGAATTCATCTAAGTTTTGAGTTCATTTGCACGAAATTGTTAAATAAAAGCTTCAAGCACCTTGAATTTGGAAGTTAAGAGTTAAACATGTACATGCACTACAACAAAATGCACTTTCGGCGACCAAAATTGGCGACAAAAAAATTTAGTTGCCAAAAGTTGTGGAATTGGTGACCAAAAATTTTTTTAGTCGGCAAAAGTAAAATATTTAGCTACTAATTTTTTTTATTCAAGGTATATTGGTTATTGACGACTAAAAAAAAAATTAGTCGCTAAAAATGCTAGAATTGGCGACAAAAAATAATTTTAGTCGTCGTATATTGAGTTTTGGCTACTAAAACCATGTAGTCGTCGAATAGAAAATAAAAAATATATATATTTTTAACCTTTGGTGACCAAAATTTTGGTCGCCAAAAGTTTATTTTCAGCGACAAAAAATAATTTTAGTCGCCGTATATTGAGTTTTGGCTACTAAAACCATTTAGTCGCCAAATAGAAAATAAAAAAAAAATTTACCTTTAGCGACCAAAATTTTAGTCGCCAAAGAATTAAAATTTTGGAGGGAGACATTTTAAATATTTTGGAGGAATTTATTAAATACTTTCAGTGATTAAAAGGGTTTAGTGGCCAATAACAATCTATATAAATATATCACACTCACACTCTTCTCTCTTATCCTCTCTCATCTCTCTTTCTCTCATTCCAGCGCCTCTCTCTCTCTCTTTTCAGCGTCCCTCTCCCTCTCCCTCTCCCTCTCCTTCTCCTTCTCCTTCTCCTTCTCCCTCTCCCTCTCCCTCTCCTTCTCCTTCTCTTTCTCCTTCTCTCTCTCCCTCTCTGTTGCTCCTTTCCCCTCCATCTCTCACTACCGCTCCTTATTGCGTTCGCCGGCAACCGGAGCACCAATTCACTTCCTCGTTGGTCACCGTCGCGTGAAATCAATCCATCACCCACAGAATCTCGATTGGCGGCTCCTCCCTCACACATTTCAAAGACATAACAGATAGATAGGATTTGGATGAGGCACGCCAAAAATCTCTGCAACTACCAACCATCGTCCATGGCATTCTCTCTCTCCTCCACTATCATCTCTCACACTAGGGTTTCCAGAAATGTCTCCCTTACTCTAATTCAACCTTTTTTCTCAACCCTTCTTCTCTCAATTCGATCCAAGAGAACTCACAAAGAACACACAGTAGCTCCAATTTGCCCCACACTTGGCCACATTCTCGCCAAAAACCCTTCAATGGTTAGTTCTATTCTGCTCATATTCGTTGTTTTACTTGAATTGATGATTTTTTTGAAGAATTAATCATTTTTTATTGCACTTGATTTAGGGATAATTTGAAATCGTGTAGTGTATGTGAAAGTTGTTATGCATAGTGTTGTTTGTGATCCCCCATATTTTTTATGTATCTTGTCATAATTCAAATAGGAGGGCTCTTGCTGCCTATAGTTTACAAAATGTTATGTTAATGGGTAGGATATTTGAACCATTTCAGATTGTAATTCATAACCCTTGGCAAAATGGTAAAGAACTCAAAATGTATCACATTTTTTAATCGTCTTCCACGCTGATAAATTACGAGGCATCACACACAGTGATTGGTGGTGTGTGAGATGAAATTTTTAACAAGTTTTCACTAAATTGAAGTAACTTTCCTCATTCACCATTTGACTGATATTTTCCCATTTGTTTTGGGGGGCTACTGTGCATTGCTTGTCTCCACATCTAAGCTCTACTTAACCATTTTATTCTTAGTAGTAATGTTCCTGACAATCTTATTCTCTCCTTTGGATTTATTCCTACATGCTGTAATATGGAGAATTAATTTGGTGATTTTAACAGGTTCTGAATAAAAAACTGATAGTAATCTCTCTCTCTCTCTCTTTCTCTCTCATGTTGGACCCAAAAATTGAATGAAATATTATGTTACCTTGTTTTTATTCAAATTGCATCTCCATTACCTTTAGCTTCTTGGAATTCTTGGTATATTTCTCCCACTAAAGCAGTACTTTATTCACCAGACACAAAAGTTCGTAGAACAGGGGAACTAGCTTTGAGAAAGGCTATCCCCGCAAACACAAATATGAAAGCTATACAGGTCCTTATCATTGAAACTCTTTAGTTCTACAATTCCTCTATTTGGATAATAATAATATGCAAACTATCTTACTTCTTCTTTTAGGATTCTCTAGAGGACATCTCATACTTGCTAAGGATTCCACAAAGAAAGCCCTATGGAACAATGGAGGGTAATGTGAAGAAAGCTCTAAAGGTATCACTCATTCTCTTCTCATGTATAATACAGGGTAAGGAAAGACCAATATGAATAGTTATGTTATAATATGCAGACTGACACTCATTTTCGTAATATTCTTTTTAGTTTTTTGTTGTTTTTTCTTATTCATGTCATATTCATATCAACTTGGTATGCATTTGGATCATGCCATTGGTATCAAAGACCAATATGAATAGTTATGTTATAGTCTTGTCAAGTGATCCTTACATTGTTCTAACTCCTGGACAGCAGGTCAGTCACTCTCACTTTTGTTTTACCCTCAGGGCTGAACCTTATGGGCATGGACATGGTCTATAGTTCATACCTGTAAATCTTGCTTATATGTTAAGATTCCAATTCTGGATTTTAGCACATTGCCAAAAAATAAAACTAAAAGAATAAAAATTTAAAAGTAAACTAAACCAAACTAAAATGCCTTGTGTCTCAATCAAATAGGATCAGTTACATGAATCATTTTCCTCCATTTAGCTCTATCAAGGGTTATGCGTTTAGTTAATTTAAATAAATCAATATATTTTTTCACTACTCCTAAAGCGTTGCCACCTTATTTCTTTTAGTTCTTTATTGAGTACTTAAAAATGTATACTTGGTTCAATGGCAGTTCAAAACCCTGCTAAGGGTACTTCTCGTTTGGTAGCATCTTATACATGGACCTTTGTTTGATGTTTCAATTGTGCAACTTATAGATTAAAGATTTAATTTTTTTCTGTAGAAATATATGATGCTTTTTCTCATTTCTGAAAAATTTGTGTTACTGTTATTAGAAAGTCCAAACAGACATAATAAAAAGCAACTTGAATCCAGTATGGAATAAGGAACTCATGCTTTTTGTGATGAGAATGACGAAGAGTTGCCTGATTTTTGCAAATTCTATGAGAAGTTTCACAAGTCGAAGAAAGATGAATGACTTGATTGATCCCCGATGCGATGACCTACATGTAAGAATTTAACAATAGATCAATTGACTGGATTTGAGATCGGCCCACGACTCTCTTCTACCATATCCGAAGCTGCATCAAGAGTACGTGATAACGAGACTGAGACCTTGAGATTAGAGATCCGAAACATATACACTTGATATGTTTTGTTATTAAGATTTTATTTAATTTGGATTTTAATTGTTGGTTTGGATAGTATATGTATTTGTTCGATTATACTATGTTTATAGATTCTTATTTTCTTTGATATGTACGGTTAATAGTTAAGTTTTGTATATGGTTGGAAATTGAATGGTATAGGTGGTGGAGAAATATTTTTATTGAATGGTTGAGAATTGAATGGATGAATGCATGGATGAATAATTTTGTATATGTACAGGTTACAAGTGGCGCAACAAATATTACAAAATAAATTATAAAAACTAAATGAGACCTTTTGGCAACTAAACAAATATCACAAGTTGGCTTTTAGCTACTAAAACTTTAGTCACCAATTGTAAAAAAATGAAACTTTTGGCTACTAAACTTTTAGTCGTCAATTGTAAAAATGAAACTTTTGGCTACTAAATTTTTAGTCGCCAATTCTCAAAAAGTAAAACTTTTGGCTACCAAATAGTTAGTCGCCAAACATATATGCTCAATTGGCTACTAAAAAATTTAGTCGCTAAAAGTAAAATATATATATATATATATATTTAATTATTTTTAAAAAATATATGGCGACTAAAATTTTAGTCGCCAATAGGTCACTGTTGGCGACCAAAAATATTAGTCGCCAAAATTAATTGGTGACTAAAAACAAGGCTTTTGGCGACTAAAATTTTAGTCGCCAAAAGTGAAATTTCTTGTAGTGATGCATGCATAATTTGAGTTAGAATTCATGAAATTCCTACATGCATGGCACAATTACACCTCAATTTGGAGAATCCTTCATGTTTTCATGCTTCTCATGTCACTTAATTATGTTTTGAATATGTTTTGATGAAATACACACTCAAATTGAATTAAACTTGTTTTATAACTTGAAATTGAAGTTCTTGGTTGAGAATTTGCCATGGTTTTGAGCAATTGGTTCCAAATTAACTATGTTTCCATGTTTTATAAAGCTTTCCCATGTTTTTGAACCTAAAACACGAGTTTGGGACCTTGAATATCATATTTGAACTTCAAACACAGTTCTAGAAATTTCAGAATTTGGCTTGTCCGCTCAAGCGAGGAAAGCTCCGCTAGAGTGTGAAAATGGGGCTCCTAGAAGTTTTGCAAAATTGTACAGGCCGCTTGAGCGACCAAAATAGTGCTCGAGCGAGGACCCTTTTTACTCAGTCTTCTGCTCAAGCGACCGTCGAGCGGGAATTTCATGTAACCAGTACTTTTGCCAAGTTTGCAGACTGCTCGAGCGTCAGAAGTTGTGCTCGAATGACCACCTTTGTTTTTGAACCCTCGTTCGAGTTCGCTCGAGCGGAGACCCTGTTTTTAGCAAAATTTTACCAACTCTTTTAAGTGCATATTTGCATCATCATGCCACTCCAAGTATTCTTAGGCACCATTTGGACTCATATAATCATAGAATGAGTTAGAAACACATGCGTAGAATTGAATTAAAATAAACTGGTGCTTCAACTGTGCTTCTGTTATGTGTTTTGTTTAGGTGGACGTTTGAGGCTTAGTGCTAACTCAAACCACTATGAGTAGTAACTTTATAAAATATGTTCAAGTAATATTATTTTCAAAATTGTTACTGCTTTATAATCAATATGTGACTGATTAAATGGTTTATTGAAAAGTTATTTTGTAATGATGAATGAAGTTCATTTTCGAAATGTATTTGTAGCATCTATTGAACATAGGCCCATGTCTGGGGGTAACAATACCACGGCTATGGGTTGTAGGCCCTTGCTTGGGGGTAACAATACCACGGCCATTGGATGTAGGCCCTTGCCTGGGGGTAACAGTACCATGGTTATTGGATTACATAAAGATCTCTAATGTTAGTCCTTCGTGGTCCATTGGTTTGACCCTCTGTGGTCCATTGGCTTGACCCTTTGTGGTCCATTGGTTTTTTCTCTACTATGATTGGAATGTTATTGTTCATGGGTGTGCCACATATTTTGATATTGAATGACGTCGATTATGAAATTTATTAGATATAAAGATTTGAAACGAGAGTTTTGATGAGCATGTTATCGAACTTCATTCGCATAACCTCTTTATTCTATTAGTACTCACTGGGCTCTAACTCACTATTTATTTATATATAGATATAGGTGGGCAAGCTGAACATTAAAGTTAGAAAGCCTCGAGTCTACCCGGGTCAACCCTTTTGAGGAGCTTCTAAGTGAAGTGATCAAACTTAGGAGGAGCCATGCTAGTTGAACCCCTTTTTGTGTATTTCAATGGTTTTGTACTTGTTTATAGTTGGGGTTATATATTTGCAAGACATGAATTTTGTACAATTGTGATAAATATACTTTTAAATCAAAACTTTGCTTATTATATTAGTTCTCCTCATATGTGCATAGCTCAATGGATAATTTCTATGTTGTTTTAAGCTTCCGCTAAGCCCCGTACTTTATATTAAGAGGTTCATTTGTACAGAGGCCGTAGGTAATCTATGATTACTAGCCGGTCATGACGCTAAACCTATAGAGGCAGGTTTGGGTCCTAACAGCAGCACTCCTTTTTGCTCATTGTGACCTTTCAATTTAACAAAAATATTGCTTAGACTACGGTTTAAACTCCTTAGTCAAGTCTTCTTCTACTTGTTCAATTGATTATTTTTTATAAAATAATTAAAAATGTTCATTTGTAATATAAGCTCCAAACAGTACAAGCATTTGCTTGCTAATCTGATATATGCACACACAATCATTTATTTTTTTTTATTTTTTTTATTTTTTTTGTACAAGTATATATGCACACAAAAATCAATTGAAACTAAAAAGCATTGCACCTCTAACTTAAGGACAGAATTACCATAATCAATTTGCAATTTACTCAAGTTAAAAGCCATAATCTATATCTCTATATATTTATTTGCATTATATGCTATGTATACTACATAAAATGTCTCTGGAGATAATATCCTTTTCTCCATATGAGGTGAGATAGAAGGAAATTCTTCCTTGCCTTTGTGCTTCGTAGAAGATGGTGTCCATAGTTTGAAGGGTAACCAGACTACTATACATCTTCAATGCATCAGCCTTTCTCACCTAATGAATGTAATAGTTGAAAAATTAACAAAAAACAATGTGTTTGCCAAAAATATAAGTAATCAAATTTACAAATGATCGAAACCATAGAATCAGGAGGCTTACTTTTATTTTACCCATTCCTGTCACTAAAAAAAAAAAAAAAACAAAAAAAAAGGAGAAAAGGGAAAAAAAAAACCCTAGAACAAGTATTCGAATAATAAATGTCAATGTGTATATGTGGAGTCTATCATATTTAAAAAATAGTAGAACCCTTTATGCTCACATAAAAACCCAGGAAGTGAAAAGTTTGAGAAACATCAAGGAAATATTACCCTTAATAATGTTTAAGATACATAGTATTTCAAAACATTAAAAAAGAAGGCAAACCTTATTTTGTACAGCACTTATTTCCTCATCATAGTCCAGTTTTGACGCCAAGTGAAGATCCTTAGCAGCCTCTCCCCATTAACCAAGCATTGCCCAATCCTTAGCAGCCTCTCCCCATTAACCAAGCATTGCCCATGCCACGGGATTAGTATTTTGTACCCTTTAGCCGAATCTGGATTAATCTGTAATAAGCATTCAAGGAAATGCAAAACCCATCATCACAAAAAACATCACATTCTAACCATCTTCAGGACTCATACATAAGTAGAGTATAATTTAAAATTGACCGTATAAATTTGATCGACCATACAGGATGATAATAAGGATGACACGAATGCAACAAATATGAGCATATCGAATATAATGAGAATGAAATTGTAGATACATTCATGACGTGTCTAGTATATTTCTAAATTACAATCAAGAAACTATACTATTCTGCTAAGTGAGGAAAATAAGAAAAACCTCCAGAGCAGCATTGGCATCTCGGATAGCAGCATTGGCTTTCTTCATTTTGATATACACACTAGTTGTAAGAAATTAAAGAAAATTTTCTACATCATTTATAAGAACATAAACACAAAACATAGAAAGAGATACGAAGGAAGAAGTGGAAGAAAGCACCATTACTAGAAAACACTTTACCTCTGGTTGCATACATAATTGCTAAGGTTAGGTTGAGCAAAATCACCTATGTGAGATGCTCAATTGCTTCCTCGGGCTTACCTGATTAACCACAAAGCCATCAATTTCTGCAAACATGCTTTTTCATGCATACATTATAGGTGTCTGTTTGTATGTAATGAAATTAAAATACCTTCAGAAATTGCTTCCATGGCCTTTGCCTTCGTGTCCTAGGCAGCATCCCAGTTTTCTTCTATGACCTCAACAGAAGGGTCTCCCATCTGCAAAATTCAATGTTAAAGAGATATTCATGTTACAGAATATCAAAATCCAAAATCGGCTTGCTTAATAAGAGCAACGACGCAGACACACCTTCTGTGGTGGATCATTGTCAGGTTCCACAGTTTCACCTTCAAACTCGAGATCAGATTCAACTATCTCGCTTTCTTCCTCCTCTTTAGCAGTTCCATGTGGTTGAGGCTCCCCCTCATTGTCCTCCAAATCCTCATCACTCTCTTCCACAACATAAGGCTTTTGTAATTATTCATTAAACAAAACATTAAAACTCCCAAAATTTTAAATTTCCAGGTCACAAAAAACAACCTAAACTATATACTGTCCCTTTGGTAAATTAGATGAGAAAAAAAAAAAGACAAGAATGTGATTTCTCATGTAGGTTAGAAGGGAAAAAAAAAAAAAAAAACTCTTTCTCACCATGTGTAATTTTATTTAAAATTTTTGTATTTAGATAGAAAAATAGGTATTTTGAAGAGAAAAAATAATTATAAAGCAACTTTGGTTTCTCGCCAAATCTCACCAATTTTTGGTGAGAAACAAAAACGAATTTAAATAGAGTTCTTCTTCTCACCATTTCTCACCTCTTCAGTTAGCCAAACAAGTGATGAGAGTTTTTTTCTCTCTCCATTTCTATTACTTTTACTCACCAAAGAATTCTGCTTTCACTCATTTTCTTACATTTTCTCAATAGCCAAACGGATTTTAACTATATACATATATATATATATAGAGACAGAGAGAGATGGTTACAGAAGTACCGATTTGTTGTGAGGGCACTCTCCATGAGGAAACTTACAGCCGAGGCTGAAACAAATCAAAACCACACGAAAATCAAATTCAACAATAAGGCATTTTTACACACATCATATATAAGCATATAAACCAAGACAATGATGTATTGAAATGGGCTCGGCTGAGAGCGAGATTGAAAGAATAAATCAACTGAATCAAGCATATAAACCAACTAAATCAAGTATAAATCAAGCATACAAAACCCTAAAGCCACAATTAGAAAATGGGGAACAGAGGAAAGGAGACAGAGAGAGAAAAAGAGAGAGAGCGAGAAAGAAAGAGACATAGAGAGACTGTGAGCAAGAGAGAGATAAACAGACAGACACACCAAGAGCGAGAGAGCGAGCAAGGGAGAGAGAGATAGACAGATAGACACACCAAGATCAAGAAAGCGAGAGAGAGAGAGAGATAACCTGTGATCTGCGGCTGTGCCGGTGGTGCTTTGCGGTAGTGGCCGTGGCCATGGCCATAACAATGTCTTCCATACGGTGGGCTGCGGTAAGGTGTTTGTCTCTTCGGTTTGGTGTTTGATTGTAAGGTTTGAATGTTGTTGTGTGTAACAGAGAAAAGGGCGGGCAGCAATAAAAAAGTCTGTGCGCATGTCCTAAAAAATTTGAAGATTTAGCGACTAAATGAAATTTTTGTCGGCAAAAGTGTGTATTATTGGTGACTATCCTATTTGGTAGCCACAGGAAAATAAACAGCGACTATTTTATTGGCCGCCAAAAGTATATTTGGCGACTAAATCTCCATTTGGTCGGAAAAAATTTGTGTTTGCCCACTAAATTTTTTAGTCACTAAAGATTAACCAAAAAATATGCTTGGTTTTTCGCTACTAACATTTATTTTGTAGGCAAAAATTCATATGCAACAACTAAAAAAAATTAGTAGCCTAAAATTGAGATTAACGGCGACTACTAAATATTTTAGTCGCTAAAAGTGTCACTTTTGCCAACAAAAAAGTAATTTAGTCGCCAATAAATAATATTTCCCGACTAAAAAATTTTAGTAGCTAAAAACTGTACCAACACCAACTAATACATATTTTAGTCACCCAAAGTGACATTTTTGGCGACTGTGTTCCCTGCTATGCCTAAAACGACACAGCTTTAGCCTTCTTTTTCTTTTTCTTTTTTTTATGTTCTCACTATTTTTTTTGGCGTAATAAATTACACTTCTTTTTTTTTTTTTAGGGTTTAAGGTTTAAGTTTTAAAATTTATTTTTTTTATTTTAGGGTTTAGGGTTTAGGGTTTAATTCTTAAAATTTTTTTTTTTATTATTTTAGGATTTAGGGTTTATGGTTTAATTCTTAAATTTTATTTTTTTAATTTAGGGTTTAATTCTTAAAATTTATTTTTTTTTATTTTAGGGTTTAGGGCAAAGTGTAATATATCATGCCAAAAAACATAGTGAGAACATGAAAAATAAATAAATAAATAAATAAAATAAGAGGCTAAAAATGTGTCATTTTAGGCATAGCAAGGAATACAGCAGTGGTCACAGCAGTGACCCCGTGTCCAAAAAAGTATCTATAATTTTACTCATAATGATGTAACAGGATATATGTCAACTTTTAATTTATTACACACTTAATAATTGTGGGCCCAACTCCCATGCCACATTAATATGCGTGAATTTATGGGTATAAATATATAGAACTCTAGCATTACTCGGAATTGAATAATGCTATATGCACCAATTAGTATGCTAACTAGTGTACTAATTGATATTGTAACATAATTTAAAATATTTTTGGTATTTGTAATTTGTATAATGAGTGTGGTCAATAATAATATCATAACTAGTGTGGTAATTTGTATAACTAATTGGTGTATGTAGCACCACCGCTTAGAATTATTAGAGAGCATATTAATGTAGCATAAGGTTATGGGTCATGGGTTATTCAATTTTTTAAGTATAAATTATACTTTGTCCCTTTTATATTTGATGTTTTTCCATTTTGACCTTTCATGTTACATGTTTTTTTTAAAAAAATTTACTCCAAAAATTAACTTACGTCCAAAATTAGACAAAAAATGACACATTGACAATCATGTGGCATAAAAATATTTTATTATATATAATTCACACTTTTGACACAAACTCAAATTTTAATATAAATTTTTATGTTATGTTATGTGATAATTAACATGATCTTTTTTGTGTCATTTTGAACACAAATTGGCTTTAAGAGTAAAATAAAAAAAAATAAAAATAAAATAAAATAAAAAACTTTAAGTTTCAAAGTGAAAAATGACCAAATATAATGGGGACAAAACATAATGTATCCATTTTTAACAATATTATCAACTAATATAACTTACAAAATTAAAAGGCAAAATTGATTCAAATAGAGTTACAGTAACCAAATTAATACAATAAATAAATTACAGAAACCAAATGCATAATTTTCTGGAAAAAAAAAAAAAAATATCTTAAATTTCCTTATTTAAGATTGCCTACTACAAATGAAAAACCTAGTACTAAATAATTATTTCTGGGCACATCAATTCTCGAAATAATGAAAAGTTATCTAGCAAGTATGTTTTATCATATTTGTACATTTTGTATCAAGTATCATTTTTCAGCTGCCGCTAGCTTGACAATGGCCAATGCATTACTACAAAGCTTAACAAGAATTGTATTTCTACTCGTCAACGGTGAAGTATGGCCTGGACTTTCATTAAAATAGTCCTCACACGTCTGCGGATCCACCATTGCTGCTGCCACTAACGTCTGAATATGATCGTAACCTTTAGACTCGAATGCCGCCATCGAGTCCTCGAGGTTTCCGATCGCATCATCATAATTGGCAGAGCAATCCATGAGGGATTGGTGTACAAAGGCCTCCGTCTCCGTGCTGAGGAGCTCCTTCACATGCTCCTGTGTGTCAGTGGCGTTTAAATACGCCACCTTCACAGCGATGTTGGCTACGCTGTACAAGTCTGCAACGGCCTCAATGTTGTCCTTAATAGAGGCTTTGCAAAGGTCCTTGTACGGCGTAGCTTCACAGGCCCGGTTGATTATGTGGTCGCTATCGCCGACAGTGGTGAGGGTTCGACGTGATTGGTCGAGTATGTTGTCGCTGTCACCGATGTCGTCGGTGAGGGTACGACGTGATTGGTCGAATATGTTGTCGCTGTCACCGAATTCGTCGGTGGTGAGGGTGCGGCGAGGCCAGAGGGTGAGGATGAGGAGGAGGAAGAAAAGGCACGAAATGTGTTTCATTTTTTTTTTTTTGTTTGTTTGATGGAGAGTTGAAGGATTTTTTGAGAGATTGATTTGTTTTTTATTCTTCAAGTTGTTTAATTATATATAAATATATATAGTGTTTGTATAATTGAATTGGTGGCTAATTAGTAGTTGATGAGAAGAGAGATGCGCATGGCCAAACAATAGAGAGTATTTATAGGGTCTTTGGAGTTCCATTGTGAATTACACTAATGGCCTCAAAAGTTTCTCTCTATTTCATCCCCAAATTTCTTTTTTATCTCTTAATCCAAAATATTTTCATCTATTAGATTATGCTTGAGATTACGAGTTTGATTTTTTTAAAATGATATAAAAACTCACTTTTTATATTTATTTTTAAAATTCAGTGATGTGTAAAAAGAATAATTAGTTGATTATTAGATAATCGTGAGACAAAAAGAGTTGTCTTATATATTCTAATCGACAATGCTAGGTAGCTCAAATTTTTGTGGCTCAAATGGCTTAAATCTGTCAAAACGACGTCGTTTTGACAGATTTTGAGTGTAAAACTACTTCGTTTTGACAGATTTGAGCCATTTGAGCCACAAAAATTTGAGCTACCAAACATTTTCCTATTCTAATAGACTATCACAATATTGAGTGTGAAAAGGTAGGTTTAACTTTTGGGATAACAGTAACCTTGCTTGTTTACACTTTTCAAAAAATACTTTTCAGAAAATTTTACTTTCTTATTTTTTGTGTTTTTTTATTTTTACTGAATTTTTTTAATATTTTAAGCAATTTTTTTACTTTTTAAACACACCTAACATAAATACACCTAAAAAGTAAAAAAATTGTAAAAAAAAAAAATCTTTTAAAAATTCACTAAATACCAAAAATATAAAAAAATACAAGAATTCAGTATATTTTTTTATATTTTTATGTATTTATTAATTTTTTAAAATATTTTTTTACAAATTTTTTATTTTTTAGTTATATCTAAGTAAAGTGCATCTAAAAAAGTAAAAAAATATTTAAAATTTAAAAAATATTCACTAAAAATAAAAAAAAATACGAAAATTAAAAAAGTTAATTTTCAAAAAATTTAATCTAAAAAACTCAAACAAACACATTAATTGATTTTCCTACTATGATTTTATTGTATTTTTTATTATAACAAGACATGGGTCCTGTTTGGTACAGCTTAATTTCAGCTTATTTCAACTTTCAGCTTAATTTAAGCTATTTTGATGTGTTTAGTTTAGCTTAACAATACAACTTATAACTTTTTATAAGTCAGAAATCAACTTATTCTTTGAGTGGAGCAGGAAAAACTTAATTTATAAGTCAAAAATCAGTTTATGTTCATAATTATAAACTATAAATTATAAGTATTTTTCCACAGTTCTACCAAACAGGACTATGACAGCAAAGTAATCTAACAATTTAGGTTTGGAGATGTTTAGGGTGTGTTTGGTAACGTTTACGTTTTCAGTTTATATTTACACCTTTTTTTTTTTTTTTTTTGGGATAAATTATAAATACATTTTTTAAAATTTATTTAAAATACGAATTACTTTTTGTGATTTGAAAAATTACAAATATCTTTTTATCAGAATTTTTTATTTAACAGAATTAATAAAAAAAGTAAAATTCATAACAGTTTATTTATACAATAATAAAATTATTTAAATTATTAATTGAAATAAAATTTTAATATTATTAAAAATTGTTAATTAATTTGATAATTTATTAATAAAATGATTTATTTGTTATGAAATTAGAAACCTTTGAAGGCATAATTTAATTTTTAAAACACAAAGGATAATTTATAATTTTAATAAACCTCAGAAGTGTTTGTAATTGTAACTTGCCCTTAAAAAAAACATAAATATGTAGTTTTGTGGTATTTAGTGATGATTTATTGACGCATTAGTTATAATTTAGTTATATATATTGTAGTATTAATTATAGTGTATTATAACATTTGTGGGGATATATTTTCTGAGTACCAGCACATGGCCAAGGTGACTCCGACGTGTCAGTCGAGGTGCCACGTGTCCTGGTCGTAACGCCGAGGTAATCTCGGCTAGGCCGAGGTTATCTCTGAAGATATCTGAATCCGGGATAAGCGGATAAGGGATAAGAGTCCTAGAATGAGGCAGGACTTCAGCCTGGATAAGAATAAAACTCTTAGGGAGTTTATCTTTATCTATTAGAGAGTCCAAGCTAAGCACTGAGCAGAAATCCATTGAAGCTAGGCTTCTATTTGGACTAGGATTGTGTTGGCTATAAAAGAAAGGCACCCCCATGGGTCTAAGGTACGCAATTTATATTCAGAACAGTCAGCAAGCACTATTGATTATCTTTGAGAGATATTTGATTACTGACTTAATCATCGGAGTGCCCCCGGGTGGACAAACCACCGTTGGAATCTCTTCTTTCTGTTGCAAGTCGTTCAGGCTTATCCTATTCTGTCAGTGCTCTCCAGTTGAATACTGAATTGGCAGTGTGGTCGAAAATTCACTCACACAATTTGGCGCCGTCTGTGGGAAAGAAATGAGAATAGATGGCCAACAATGGACAGAAAGAGAAGATTGGGGATAACATTCTTACTGGGAGTGAGAGACCTGTCGACATTGACGTCGAAGAAGACAATTGCAACGAAGAAACTCCTGACCAGAATCACGGAGGAAAGGACGTCGGCTAGGAAGGTGACATACCAAAGAAAACATACCAAAGCAGGTACTACAACGAGGACGACCTCCAGGTATGGAAAGAAAGATGCCTGCGGAGGGACAATGAGGTAAAGACCATAGAGAACAAATTGGCGGACCTGCAAACAATGGTCAATTTCATGATGCAAAATAACGTCATGCAGCCATCGTTCCCACTGCAGGACACGCCGATTCCAGCGGCCAATGCCCAGAAGGGAGTACAGAAAACAATCCTTGTAGCCCCCCAGCACGCCAGAAGCGAAAAACACTCTCATCGGCCGTCAAAGGAGGTCAGGCGAGGAGAGTTGAGAAGAGAAGAATCTCGAAGGACACATCGCACCAAGGAGGCAGACCCTAGAAAACATCGGCATGTTCAAAGGCAGGAGTTGTGCTTCGATGCGACCAATGGAGAAAGGTCGAAAAGGGCTCACAACAAAGCTGAGAGCAATGCACCTAAAAGATTGAAATCAGGAGATAGCCGAGCTCCTGGGCGGACCAAGGAGGACTTGAGAGATTACCTTAAGAGGAAGCAACAAAATGCCGAGGTAACTTCCATTGTTAAGCTGAGAACACTATTCTCGGTGGAGTTGGACAAATTTGAGGCACCAAAAAGATTCAATATGCCGAGGTTCTAGATATACGATGGGAAGTCGGATCCCAACTTTCACGTCGGATTATACCTGAACTCGATGGCACTGTACACTGGGAACGAGCCGTTGCTCTGCAAGGTGTTCCCCTCATCCTTCGAGGAGATTGCATTGGACTGGTTTCACAAATTGTCGAAGGGAAGTGTGAAGACCTGGAAAGGCCTGGCCGAGATGTTTGTAGCCAGGTTCGTGACAAACAAACTACAGCGATTAAGGATGGGTGCCCTGATGGCTCTGAGAATCAGTGAGGATGAAGGCCTTAGGGCCTACGCAAAAAGGTATTATGAGGTTTCAACTGAATACCTGAATGCAACCAAGAGGTGGCGATCGTGTCTTTCAAGAGCGGCCTGAAAGATGATTGTGCACTACGAAAGTCATTGGCAAAGACATTGCCAAAAAGCATGGAGGAGCTCATGGCCAGAATTGAGAAATACGCCAAAGCCGAGGAAGACACGCCAGGTATTAAGGCGACAAAGCCGGAGAAAGTAAACGGCTCACCGATGCGAGGCTGAGGTAACAATGGATCCAACAAACAAGAGATAGGACTGAGAACCGCACATGCAGTCACGACTGTATTCCGAATCCCAATTCACAAAGTCCTGGATAAAATCTGAACCCAACCCTATTTCAGAGCCCCAGCACGGGTTCCAGGAGAGTTTATGGGAAGAAGCCTTAGGAAGTATTGTGCTTACCATAACGAAGATGGGCATCTGACTCAGGATTGCAGAGTCCTGAAGTCACACCTAGAAGACCTGGTAAGGCAAGGCCATTTGAGGGACCTTGTAGATGAGGCCAGGACAAGGGAAGAGCAAGCAAGACTTCCTCAGGCACCAGCAGCTCCACCTCCCCCAACACAGCAACCGCAGGTAGGCGGGCCTCGGGTAATTAATGTGATTCACTCGAAGGTCAACGAAAACGAAATTCGGGAGGAGACCCAGAAGGTAAAACACCTACAGCACATGTACCAGGTCAGGCAGAAAAGACCTCGGACTGAGGAATGCCAGGGACCAATGGTGTCCTTTACTGAAGCCGACCTGGATATGGTCCAGCATCTGCATAACGATGCATTGGTAGTATCCCTCCAAGTTGGGGAGTGCCAAGTGAAGCGCATCCTAATTGACCAAGGCAGCTCTTATGACATCATGTATGTCAAGTGTTACAAAGAGCTTGGCCTTCACCCAAATGATATAGAGCAATCCAATGGACCGATGGTCAGGTTCAATGGAACGCCGACATGGCCACTGGGAGCAATAAGCTTGGATGTGCAGGCTGGCACCAAGAAGACAAAGACAGAATTCACCATAATCGACACACCATCCCCTTACAACGTTATCTTGGGAAGGCCATGGTTGCATGCAATGGGGGTTGTTCCCTCAACATTGCATCAACTATTGCGGTTCCCAACAGAGCATGGATAGAGGAGGTTAGAGGAGATCAGTTGCAGGCAAAAAACTGTTCCATAGCAGCAATGAAATCCACCTGCATCATACGAGAACCATAAAGGGCAGAGATCGAAAATGAGGACATAGAGGTCCTATAGGACGTCGGCAAGGAGCCATCCGAGAAGAGTGAAGAAGCCCTAAAGAAAATCCTCGTCCAGCAGGGAGACGAAGAACGCTTCTTCCTTCTCGGCTCGGGCCTAGCCAAAGAAGAGGAAAAAGAACTAGAGGCTTTCTTAAGAGTAAACATTGAAGTATTTGCTTGGACGCCTTACGAAATGTTAGGCATT